AAATTCAGCACAAAAATTCGGATGGTTCCGTAAAAGTAAACAACAGAAATTGTGGGCAGAGTGGGATATGGAGTTTTGGTGTTTCGGTTGAAAGATGCTTTTGGTGTGGGACATGTGGCCTTTTTAGTTAAGTGAGGTGGAAATATTGTTTAATTCAGTTAAGTGAGGTACAAATATTGTTATTTCCCCTGCTTTCTTTTTATTAAGTCTAAATTGTCCTATATAACACTTAATTAAAAAAAATGATTTTTGCAACTTGCACATTATGAAAAAAAATTAGCATTTGGCATGAGACTACAGAGCAGCAATATACATTTAAGAGCAAAATTTTATACCCTGTATTAGTGTGTTAAAACATGGAAGGAGGTTATTTGGACACTGGTATCCTTTATCCCGTGTGATTTCCCCCCAGCAGCTGAGCAGGACTGTGTCAGCCAGCAAACTGCCAGAGATGGGGGGAAAAGCCCCATGCAGATGTTCCTCTTTGCATTAATAATGCTGACAGCACTTAGGGTGTGCCCTTTTCTATCATTGTACAGGGAGAAACTTTTGAAGTGCCAGAAATCGTCCCTTTCCGCCTCACTCACAACATGGTCAACGGGATGGGCCCCATGGGGACAGAAGGTCTCTTCAGAAGAGCCTGTGAAGTCACCATGAGGCTCATGCGGGACCAGAGGGAGCCCCTGATGAGGTGGGCAAGGGCTTTTGCTGCACATCCTGAGAGCTGCCTGTAGTCCAAACTGCAGCGCAGTCTCACTGTGACATGCAGTTACATGTATATTCATGTGTCTTATTCCTAATTTTTGTTTTCAATTTATTTAGTGTCTTAAAGACTTTTCTCCATGATCCTCTGGTGGAATGGAGTAAACCTGTTAAAGGGAACACAAGAGCCCAGGTGAACGAAACTGGAGAAGTTGTCAATGAAAAGGTTAGTTTGAAACAAGCATAACCTGAGGTATGCAAATATCAAATGTCCATTTTGGTTATATATGAGTTATATATTTTCTAAGTGAAACCTTAACTGTCTTTTTTTTCTTCAATTTAAAAATTTCTCTGTTTGGTCATTCTTTATTATCTTCATGTTCATAATTTTTATCTGGAAAGAGACTTTTTTTTTAACTGATAGAAAACGTACTAATAAATGTTTTACTGATAGAAAATCTACTAAAGAACCAACCAAGCAAGCTTGCAGTTCTCTTATTAATGTTACGAAATCAAGGACAACATCAGCAGAAGTGATGGATCTTGCTGCTCACTCTGTGAGGAGTCCTGCAGATGTACAGTGGTGGTAACACCTGGAGTCCTGTCCATGTGTGGTTTTTTTTCCTGAGTGGAAGTTTATTATTGAATAAATACTTGCCTTGTTACCTGTCAAGGATTACTTGATTAAAATTAGGATTTCATATGTATTCTTCCTTTATTAACTGTTGATAAGACTATCTTATTAATCCAAAATGTAGCTTGCACAGCCTGTGGTATTTATTATCTTTCCTCTATGCAAAGTTTCTGATATGTCTCCTTTTTTTAAGGACGATGTAATGAAAATAAATGCGTAATAGCAGATAACACTTAGGGAGCACTGACAAACACAGCAACTAAGATAAGGACAAACTGCAGAACTGAAGCTGTGTTCCAACAGAGGAATAAACTGAGCTATTTCAGCGCAGAAAATCTCCCAGTTTTCAAACAGTTCCTAACCAGGCTGTGTCTGCATAACCTTTCTTTTAGTCACAAGGCCACCCACAGAGTTGTATAAATTAACTGCTTTCTCTGGAGAGGTGCCAATGTTGTGCTTGGGCTTTACAAGCAAATGTGTGAGTGTGGCTGGTATGAAGTGGCTGCTCTACTGGGCCTCAGAACAGCTCATTTGGGGATGCTCGGCACAGCCTCGATAATTAGACTTCTGCAATTTCGGTTGCTCATCTTTTTTATATTCTATTTTATCCAGAATTCCAAGAACCAGGCTAGGAAAACGTTGCATTTCTTTGAAAGTAATTTTATGAAATAAAGCTTTCTACCATTCTCAACTATATTTGAAGAGCTTTTTCAGTCTCTCTGGTAACTTTTATCTGTAGAAATGTAAGGCGAAAGGTATAACTTGAACAATAATATATGCATTTTAAGAATTGTTTTTAAAAGTGAGCAGCCTTTATTTACAATATATCTGGTATAGACATTTGGGTTCGGTATTAAATTAAAATACAATTTCAAATACCTTCTAACAAATATTTTTATTATTTTAAGAAGTGGAAGTTCATGGATAGTAGCAATATTATTTTTTTTCCTTTTTTTTCCAGGCTAAAACCCATGTCCTTG